AGGTTTTTGACCCAATGACGCTGAAGGAATGGTGATATTTCCAAGTTGGGATGGTGAGTGGTTTGGAGGGGAACTTGCAAGTGGTAGTGTTCCCAGATATCTGCTGCCCTCTTCCTTCTAGATATTACAGGTCCCAGGTTTAGAAGGCTTTGTGAAACGAGGTTAGGGGAGTTTTGGTCTGAATCTTACAGATAGTGCACACTCTGCATCAGTAATGGCTGGAATGAAGGTGATGGATGTGGTGCCAATCGAGTAGGCTGCTTTGTCCTGGATGGTGTCAAGCTTCTTGAGTGTTGTTGGAGCCGCACCCATCCAGGCAAGTGGGGAGTATTCCATCTTGTGCCTTGTAGCTGATGAATGGGTTTTGGGGAGTCAGGACGTGAGTTACCCACTGCAGGATTCGAAGCCTCTGACCTGCTCTTGTAACCATTGTATTTATTTGGCTGGTCCGGTTCAGTTTCTAGTAACACCCAGGATATTGTAAAGGGGAATGGAAATGGTGGTATATTGCTAATGTCACATATTAGCAATCCAGTGTCTCAAGCAAATTTATTTTCCCCTTCACGGGATGAGGAGTCACTGACCAGGCAGCATTTATTGCCCATCCCTAATCGCTCAGGAGGCAATTGAGAGTCAACCACATTGTGGTGGGTCTGGAGTCACATGTAGGCCAGACCAGGTAAGGATGGCAGTTTCCGTCCCTAAAGGGCATTAATGAACCAGATGTGTTTTTCCTGACAATGGATTCATGGTCATCATTAGATCCTTAATTCCAGATATTTTATTGAATTCAAATTCCACCATCTGCCGTGGTGGGATTCGAACCTGGGTTATCTGGGTCTCTGGATTAACAGTCCAACGATAATATCGCTAGGCCATTGCCTTCCCCCATATCTGGGGCATGAGTATAAATCCTATTTTTGCATTCAAAGGAATTAAATATTTTAAGAGACCGGATATTTTTCACTTTTGGGACTATAAATAGAAATAGACGTTGGCCTGTTATAACTGGAATACCAAGAAATTTTAACAACTTTAAAATATAATGCTGCGTATACAGTGGAGCTGTGCAAAACAATGGTTGTTTTTTGAATCAGTAAGAAGGAGAATTCAAGGCTAACAGCACCCGATTTCTTGAGTTGAAAAGCTGTAAGTCCCAAGAGCAGCAGAGAAGAACCATCCAGAGTCTACAGGCAGAAAGCACCATGTCTCCCCCTCACCAGAGAAAAAGTAACAAAAGACAAAGAATCTTAAAAGAAAAAAAATCATACAAAAATTGTGTTGAGTTGGTTTGATTAACAACTGAATCGAAGAATACCCTACAGGCAGCTGTGTATGATCATTGTAAAACACAAAAGCACAGTGAGCAAAATGACTTTCACCTTGTGGTCTCAACTTTTGAATGTTGGAATATTGTTTACCCTGTATATCTCCTTTTCCACCCATAATATCTGTGTTAAACTGTTTGACTTTTGTCTGCCTTAATTGCGATTATGTGTCTGTGCATTTGGGATATCGACAGCATATGGTTTAAGTTGTATGGAACTGATTAGAAAGCTATTTTTTCATGTGCTTTTGTTAAAGTTAACTGTGTTGCAACCAACAGTTCATTTCTGCTAATGATGAAACCTGGTGTGAATTGGTTTTGCCCTGAGTAGCAGTCATTCAGGCAAATTGGTCTATTTCATGGTTTAATTTGGATTTTTACACATTTATACATTCTGTAAGAGCTTGAGAAGCATCAGGCATGATGATTGGTGCACTTTTTCCATTAATTCCTGACAAAGGTTGAAGGGTTTGCCACCAGGATCTTTTGGATGAGCATCATATAAGATCCATTGTGGAGTAATGGTTAATGGTAAAGGATAAAGGAAGAAATATTGAAATAAGATGGCATCGGAAACAGCTAAAACCAATCTGCCATTAAACTAGGTATCCCTGATTGTTTGACAGGAATTAACAACAGCCAGACTGCTGGAATGAGCAAATAAATGCAAAGTGGGATTGTCTGCCAATGCCAAGAAGGCAGAGATGGTTAAAATTGAGAGATAATTGGCAAAGTATCTGGGATTGGTAGAAAACAGGCAGGATTAAATGCACAGAGTGGAGAATTACTTGAGTTAGCAAATTTTCAATTGCAGTTCAAATAGGTTGAATACGAAACATAAATTAGAAGTATGGGTATGAAAAACTTGAATTTGGATCTCAGTGAGAAGAAACGAGTGTGTCAGGAGAGAGATAGGGGATAATAACTTACAATGATCCTGTTAATTAAAAGAATTTCAGATGCCAATGAAAACTCTAGTGGGGAAAGGCCTGGTCATACGCTATGGCCTGTTTGTTAAGGTCATATGAAAAGAATGAAGGAAAGGATGTGGAGGCATTCTCTATGTGATTTAAAAAAATGGCAAATTACTGCAAATTTGGTTTCAACAACAAATGGAAGTTTGTTACGCAAAAGCAATGAAGATTAAATAGAATAAACTAAACTATTTACAAATAACATAATTTGAAAAATTTCAAAACACGTAGCAAAATAAAATTCCAGATATCCCAACAGCATCCCCTTACAATACTGAAATACCAGGGAGAGTGAGAATTCCTTTCCCTATCACATTTATAGCTTTGTCCTAACTGTTTCTTTCAATTCCTAGTTTTAAGAGTTTATTATTTGCCACTAGATTCTGCCAAATAAATCTATTTGTTTTACTTCATTTGACTTGGTCTAAGGTCATGAGATAAGAGGTCCATTAAATTTGATTAAGGAGAAGTTTTTTAAGGCAAAAAGACAAATTCTCAATGTTAGGTTATATGTCCATGTTTCTAGAGACTCACAACAACAGCCTGTCAAATAGCATTTAAAAACAGCACAGGCAAAGCTGAAAGAATGGACAAGCAAACTCTGTTTTAAATAGGAGATGCAGTGTTAGCTTTATTCTCTGTACCTTCTGAAAACAAATTCAGTGGTCCGTACACCATAGTTATGAGGGTTAATGAAGTGACTTATCAGGTAAATATTCCTGATCGTAGAAAGTAAATGTTATTTCACATGAATACCTGTTGTAGGGAGGAAGATAAAAGAAGCAAGTTTTTTTTTGCAAAAATATACTTTATTGATACAAAAAATAAATCTTTTTTTACACGCACAGTTCAGATCTGTACAGATTTTGCGAATGGAGAAGAAAACAAACATTGGGGATTGACTTTCTTGATAGTTACAACAGATCCAAACGCGTTTCTTAATTATGCTAGGTACTAGGAACTATTTAAACGTATCTGGTGCATCGGGAGGGTCCAATAACTGACTGACCCCCATTGTACTTTGGCAGAAAGGCCTTAGATGGTGGTCTTTCCCTGTTGTGCCTTGACAGCAGCTGGCCCAATCTTTAGTGGGTCCCTCAGCCCGTAGTCGTTGACCTTGGAATGTGCCAATCTGCAACATTAAGTATATTCAACTCTTTCAGCTGGAAGGCCAGCGCGTTTCAGGCAGACCAAAAAGCAACATTCACTGAGTTGATGGTCTTCCAGGTGCAGTTGATGTTTGTCTCGGGGAACAGACCTGTAGAGCACAGAGCTGTTCAGGATGAACCTCGACAAAAACCACTGCATCTCTCTCTCCAGACTTCCTTTGCAAAAGCATGTTCCAGAGAGAGATGTGTGACAGTCTCTTCACCAGTGCAGCCGCTTAGAGGGCAGTGTGCGCTGGTGCAGAGAGTCTGGGTGTACATGAAGGATCTCACAGGTAGCGCCCTTCTCACCACCAACCAAGCGATGTCTTGGTGCTTGTTGGAAAGTTCTGCGGATCAGGCAATTCTACTAAATGACTTTGACAGTCTGCTCAGGGAACCATGCGACACAATCCTGCCTCTCCTTTTCCTATAGGGTCTCGAGGACGCTAAATGTTGACCACTTCTTGATGGACCAGTGGTCAAAGATGTTTTTCTTTGCAAATTTCTCCATGAAGGACAAGTGACACAGAACAGTCCAATTACTCCTCCAATGAGGTCAGATCTATTCTTCGTAACACTGGGGACAGGTAGAACCTCAGCAAGTACTGACATTTGGTGTTTGCGTACTGAGAGTCTACACACAGCTTGCTGCAACCACACATAAAGATGGCCATTAGGATGAGGGTGGCATTCGTTATGTTCTTGCCCACCTTATCCAGAGTCTTGTACATCCTAGACCTGAAGATGGAGTGGAAGATGGCTGAGGTGACTACAATGGTGCAGGTTGAGGGAATGGGCCAGACCTGCACCAGGTGCAACAACAGAGAGAGAGCTTTACCCTGATGACCAGGTTTTTACACACAGTGGAGAGCTGTTTTGGAGGGCTGTTGTGGTGCATTGGGAGTGCCTCTACCTCTAAACCAGGAGTCCAGGGTTCAAGCTCTGAGTGTTTATCATAATGTGTCTGAACAGGCTGATTTAGAAAAAAAAAAACTGTAAAGCATTTTGGAATGTTGTGAGGTTATGAAAAGCACTATTTAAATGTAATTTAAACAGAAATTGCTGGAGATACTCAAGCTGTATCCATGGAGAGGGATATAGAGTCTAGCATTTCAATAGCCAATGAATGGGCCTCTGTGTTGAGCTGAAATCCCAATCTCTGATCAACTTCAACACAGTGCCCAGTTCTCCCAGTGACTAGCTGCCCTGTCCATCACTGTAAATGGACCCGGAGCAATAGATCCCCTCAGAGGGCTTTGCTATTCCATTGCCCCTCCTAGTAACAGTGGACCTTCCACCCTCAGTGATGGGCTTGTCCTGACTTGTGAGGGAACTCTAACTCTTTAATTCTGTTTTGGAAGCTGCCAGTGGCACTGCCTTTCCAGCACTTTATGTTTTCCTTGCAGTTTTCCAGTACCTTGTTTTTGTAGACATGGAAGTCTTTCTCTTCTCCGCTTTCATCCTTGTTCCTATCAGGTTGTGGTGCTCCTGGTTCCATGACACTAAGCAACAAACACCCCTGAGATATCTTTGCTCTGATTTGATTGACAGGTGATGTAGAAATTGGGATTTTGGAGAGGAATGGACAGCTCGAGGTGGAGGTGATTCAAGCTCGTGGCCTCACCCCGAAACCAGGCACAAAGTCTCCTCCAGGTAATGTGTCCTGGCCTTGATCACTGCAACTGTTCAATTCCCCGCACCCCCAACTTCCAGCGAACACATCCCCCCACCATAAATCACCATCCAGATCTCCCCCCACCCCCCCAAACTGCCTAATCACTTCACTGACCATCCTGTCCCCTCACTGACCATCCTGTCCCCTCAGTGACCATCCTGTCCCCTAACTGATCATCCTGTCCCCTCAGTGACCATCCTGTCCCCTCACTGACCATCCTGTCCCCTCAATAACCATCCTATCCCCTCACTGACCATCCAGTCCCCTCAGTGACCATCCTGTCCCCTC